AAACATTTTCCCTAGCCTCTAATCCACAGAGCCACACTAAATGTAGAAAGCTTTTTATATGTTAAATCCAATTATAACATTACAATTGTTAACTAATGCAACATCTGTTGCTAAGGGGTTAAAAAATATTACACACACGCGCGCACGCACGCACACACACAACCGCTGTTGCTAAGGGGTTCAGAAATATTAAACTTGCGCGCATAAACGCACACACACACACATGGTTGGAGTATCATTTCTGAGAGACAAAGCACCTAAATAATACTCATTCAATTTCTATGTTTGGTTTTTATTACTGTCATAGTCTATATTTCCGGTGCTACATTGCCATGAGCAGCATCTCATTTGCTCCGCAGAAATGTAGCAGCTGGTCGATGTAGTCGCTACATGTTTATGCAAACATTTGTGACATCTTTTGTGCCGTGGAAATTTCCTTTGTCGGGCGTATGCAGATATTAAAATAACAGGTAATAACAACAAACATATAATGTATTTTATTTTACTGATGTAATTAGGAAATATTGCATAGAATATATTAAATATAATTAACCAAGCTTAACAATTATAGATTGTTTATTCAATTATTGCTCACGCTTTTGTTGTAAATATTGTAACTATCTGTAACAAACAACAATGATAACAATGTATAAAATTATAATCAGCATTGACATGTGTAATATAAATATAACACTCACACCACTATGATTCAGGAGCCGCAGTGGTCTAGTGGCTAGACGCTTGCCTGCAGATCAAAAGGTCAGGGGTTCCGCTCCTGACGAGAGCCAGATTTTTTTTGACCTTGGCTCCCAGTTTGAAACAGCCTTATGTGAATACCAGGTACAGTCCTGGGAAAGATCAGGGGTTCGATTCCTTACGAGAGCCAGATTTTTTTCAAAAATGACCTTGGCTCCCAGGCTGACCCAGCCTTGAGTGGGTACCAGGTACAGTCATGGGAAGTAAAGGCGGCTGGCGTGATGCTGACCACATCACCCACCAGGTGCCGTTTGGTCTACTAAATATAGGTCTAGCCCTATATACCCAATACGCCTGAAAAGCGTGGAAAGGGTCCTTTACTTTACATTAGTTGGCATAAGTGCAAAATCGTCTTCTTCTTCACGTTCACCAGCTGTAAACTCTGACGGAAAGTTCTGGTTGTTTACCCACTTCTGGACTGCAGTCCTCTTCCAGAACCTGAGTTGTGCATGCATATCATTTTACACATCTGGTTTATTTATATGCAGACTGCTGGTTCCTCACCTCTCAGGTAGGGGCACTCTCCCTTCGAAAGAACATCCCTAATTAGCTGACTCTTATGACATGCTTGTTAGGATCTATACTTTTTCATCCTACAATGGGACCCCCAGACCTACACAGTGAGAGTACAAAATAAAAAACTATTCAAATTACTTCAAAGACATCAATGGTTTTCACTAACAAAATAGTTATTTACTTTAGAGCAGCGGTTCTCAACCTATGGGTCATGACCCTTTTGGGAATCGAACAACCTTTTCTTAGGGGTCACCTAAGACACCGGAAAACACATATTAACCTGAAGTTATGAAGTAGCAACCAAAAAAAATTTGATGGTTGGGGGTGGCCAGAACATGAGGAACTTCTTTCTTCTTCGCGTTCACCAGCTGTACACTCTGGCGAAAAGTTCTGGTTGCTCGTCCACTACTGAACTGCAGTCCTGCTCCAACAACACCTGAGTGTTGTGTGTGCATCAGTTTTACAATCTCATTCTCTTGAATACAGACTGTTGGTTCCTTGCCTCTCCGGCAGATGCACTCTGACTTTAAAGGAAGCTCCCCAATAAGTTGACACTTACGACATGCTTTTGGGGAGGCAGTGGGTCTATTCTTGTTTTCCCCACAATGGGGCCCCGGGAACCCACACGGGGGTAACATGAGGAACTATAATAAAGGGTCAGGGCATAAGGAAGGGCAAGAACCACTACTCTAGATAGCTGGACTCCTGTATAATATGTACAAGAAATTCAAGACTGGAAACTCAGAAATATGTCCACGCAGACAGGCACTACAGGAAACTGAACATGTGCTGCAGACACAGATGCAGTAGACAGATCCAAGGTCTGGTCAGTTAACGGAATGATAGTTTAGTTTAGGTTTAGATGATGGATCAACATCATGGCACAAGGGTAGTAACCCATAAGTGCTCGGTTCTACTTCTAACTGAAGCCTGAGTCAGAAGAATCTCAGCGCAGTGCATGAACTCCGTAGCACCGGCAAGGATCCTGAAATACTTTGGGAAGATTTTTAACTCCAAATTTTGCCCGGGCTGCGCCATTAGGTTACTCTTTTTAGATTTACAACTGCCAAGAATTGTTTACGTGCGCAACAATACACACAGGCATCTGATACTACCCAGAGACCAGAGAAAATTACTAGAAGTTCACATGAAAAAAAATCCCAGCCTTCACCGGGGCCTAAACCCAGGACCTCCAGCACTTGAGGCGGACGCCATGCCCCGAGACCACTCAATCTGCATTTTAACTCAAGATATGGAATGATATACAAGTCTTAACACTTGAATCAAAAAAATGTTGGATGGCCCGCTGCAGACAATCTGGCAAAGTTTTAATGTTGGCACCTTTCCGCCTTTTCAGACAATAGTGTTATAATGTGCTGTCCGGTGACATGAGAAACACACAGCCCATGGCAATAGCCAGTGTGACTAGTAAGACCTGATCTCAAGACCAATTTTTCCACTTTTCTTAGCTCCAGTGGACAGTCCTAGTTGTTCAACCACTTCTGGAATTTGGTCTTGTTCAAGAACTTTAGTTTTGCGGGGACATTCGTTCAGGCTTATTTGTATGCCGACTGTTGGTTTCTGCCCTCCCAGAAAATGCGCTCCGACTTTGAAGGAAACACCCCTAATTAGTCGCCTTGTACAACATGCTCATTAGGGAGGCAATGGGTCCCTTCTATTTTTCTGCCAAAATGGGGCCCCGGAACCCAGACTGTGAGCAAGACCAATTAGGGCCAGAGCTGAAGCCCCTCCTCTCCATAGCATAAAGCCTACGCAGCATTGTAGAGACCATCTGTTGCCCATGCAGCAAAGGAAATTGTATGCCTTATGTCATTGTACCATCTGTTATTAGCAGAATTTTTCAGGATAAGCCAAACTGAATTATATGAAATGACTTGAGGTTTGATTGCTGGCTCGCTTATTATTATATTATCAAACTAATTCTTCTTCTCCTCCTCTAGGTACTTCATCATGGTGCTGGAGGAGATGTAAGACCACACACAGTATGGAATGACAACATCAAAAACAACCTTACATCTGAAATGTCATATGAACAGCAAATAGCATAAAAACAGCAGCAAAATCACGAGATGAAAACCAACTTACACAATCTATTAGAAAGAACACACAAATGATCCCTACCCCCCCCCCCCCCCCCCCCCCCCCCCCCCCTCACCTTCCATGGGGTTGCTAGGGGAATTAGGAGAAAGGAAAAAAAGAATGTTCTGTGTGGAATTAGATGAAATATAATGTTGCAAAAATATAATGAACATACAGCAACAACAAAAACCAAGCAAAAGATGGAAACAGCAGTACCGAGAACAACTGTAGAATTATGAAAGCCAAACTTGAACAGAGCATCCAGATGAACATTTTATCTCCCCCTAACATTTTCCTGGGAACCGCCCTGGTCTAGTGGCTAGATTCTCACCTGCGGATGGGAAGGTCGTGAGTTCGTCCTGACAGAGGACAGAAATTTTTTTTTTTTTTTTTTCCAAAAATGACCTTGGCTCCCAGGCTGATCCAGCCTTGAGGGGGTACCGGGTACAGTCCTGGGAAGTAAAGGTGGTCTATAAAATATAGGTCTGGCCCAAAGGCCCAATACGCCTGAAGGTGTGGAAAAGGGTCCTTTACTTTTACTAACATTTTCCTGAAATAACTGGAGGGGAAAAAAGAAGAAGAATATTCTTATACAGAGCATAAAGATGAACATTTCATCTCCCTCTAACATTTTCCTGAAATAACTGGAGGGGAAAAAAGAAGAAGAATATTCTTATACAGAGCATAAAGATGAACATTTCATCTCCCTCTAACATTTTCCTGAAATAACTGGAGGGGAAAAAAGAAGAAGAATATTCTTATACAGAGCATAAAGATGAACATTTCATCTCCCTCTAACATTTTCCTGAAATAACTGGGGGGAAGAAAAGAAAAAGAATATTCTTATACAGAGCATAAAGATGAACATTTCATCTCCCTCTAACATTTTCCTGAAATAACTGGGGGGAAAAAAGAAGAAGAATATTCTTATACAGAGCATAAAGATGAACATTTCATCTCCCTCTAACATTTTCCTGAAATAACTGGAGGGAAAAAAAGAAGAAGAATATTCTTATACAGAGCATAAAGATGAACATTTCATCTCCCTCTAACATTTTCCTGAAATAACTGGAGGGAAAAAAAGAAGAAGAATATTCTTATACCGAGCATAAAGATGAACATTTCATCTCCCTCTAACATTTTCCTGAAATAACTGGGGGAAAGAGAAGAAGAAGAATATTCTTATACAGAGCATAAAGATGAACATTTCATCTCCCTCTAACATTTTCCTGAAATAACTGGGGGAAAGAGAAGAAAAAGAATATTCTTATACAGAGCATAAAGATGAACATTTCATCTCCCTCTAACATTTTCCTGAAATAACTGGGGGAAAAAGAAGAAGAATATTCTTATACAGAGCATAAAGATGAACATTTCATCTCCCCCTAACATTTTCCTGAAATAACTGGGGGAAAGAGAAGAAAAAGAATATTCTTATTCAGAGCATACAGATGAACATTTCATCTCCCTCTAACATTTTCCTGAAATAACTGGGGGAAAGAGAAGAAAAAGAATATTCTTATACAGAGCATAAAGATGAACATTTCATCTCCCTCTAACATTTTCCTGAAATAACTGGGGGAAGGAGAAAAAGAAAAATATTCTGAGTTTTAACCAGCCTTAGTCTCTTATACGGTTGTACCCACAGCTGGCTGACTTGCTGTCTCCTCCACATCGGTCCTGTAATTGTACAAGATTTTACCGCTCCTCCCTAACTGCGGTGACACATCAGTGCACATGCTGCTATAGATTAAAAACCGATCGCATGGGAGACACAGCTGAATGTTCTTAGTGGGGTGGAAAACCATGTAATACAACAGCTGAAATGTCATATGAATAGCAAACAGCACAAAAACAGCAGCAAACACCCACATGTGAAACCAGGCTCCGAGATCACGAGTGAATCGAAACCAAAATGCCAACATGATCAAATTTTCTGTATACATAATACAATAAAAGATGGCGAAACGAAACCGGGTGTGGCCCTCTCGGAGATTTAAGAAACAGAATATCATAACATATCCGCAGAGTAAGTTAAAGGCTACCTCTAAACATCTGGTCCCGTAGAAGGTGGTCTTCTGTCCAATTAGCCATATGAACATGATCATCCAGTGCAGGCCTAGCACTAGAAATACCCACTGTTTGAAAACAGAAGCAAACATGGCAATGCACAGTATCCGCCCTCCGACCTCGCTGGCTCTCCAGATGAAGTAAAATGGAATGCTGGTCAGCGACATTTTTGCTTTCTGCAGGTTGTTGATCCTTAATGACTTGTTGTAGGATGTCAGGGAGATGGCCAGGCTGCTCCAGGATGTCAGTAAGGACAGTACAATTAATGACGCTGCAATACACATGTGAAAAGTGTAAGGTACTTACGTGTTGTTGTTTTTTTAAGTTTTATTTTTGGTATTACAATAATCTAAATATAAAAGAAGAATTAAAGTAAAATATGTGAAGATAAGTCTGTATGCTACTTATGTATTGTGTCTGTGTGTTGGAATGACAGAAAGCTTCTTCTTCTTCTTCGCGTTTACCAGCTGTAAACTCTGGCGGAAAGTTCTGGTTGTTCATCCACTTCTGGACTGCAGTCCTGTTTCAGAACCTGAGTGTTGCATGTGCATCCGTTTTACAGACCTGACTCATTTATATGCAGACTGCTGGTTCTTTGCATCTCAGGCAGATGCACTCCGACTTCAAAGGAAGCTCCCAATTAGTCGACTCTTACGACATGCTTTTGGGTAGGCAGGGGGTCTATTCTTGTTTTCCCTATAATAGGGCCCCGGAACCCACACGGGGAATGAGAGAAATCAAAACATAATGAGAAATGTCTGGGCAACAATATTATCAAACAGAGAAGATTGCTCTGTTTGGTCACAATCTGAGAAGAGATAAACAGAGAATCACCAAACAGGCACTAGAATGGGAAACAGAGGGACTGAGGAAACCAGGACATCCAAGAGAGAGTGAGGTAAGAAAGATGGAGAGAACATAGGATGAACTAGACACACAGACAAAGGATTGAAACATCTGGCACAAGCTGGTTGAGGACTTATGCTTATTTAAGGAATAAAGTAAAGATGAAAAAAAGAAAAAAGAAATGTAAGTATAAAAAGATGTGTGATAAAAAGCATTTGTAAAAAAGAAATACTGTGAAAAAATTGTTTAATTAACTTGTAATACAATGTAATAAGTAGGAAAAGGATAGTTTACTTGCATTTTAAAATGATAAATGACAAAACTACATGCTGATAAAAGAAACACAGAAACAGAGAGAAAAAGGCTGAAAATATAACCTGTACAAAACTGTCATTACTGTCAGAATGTACTACTTTTTAGGGCGGCGTTGGATGGGAAAACGGGGGGTGAGTGGAGTGTAGCCTGATGGCCTATGGCTTACGCAGTTACCATGGAATGTTCTGGTTAGAATATTTATATTTGCTCCCGACAGGTAAACCTCCATCATCTTACCAATGTTTGAACCTGGGTCTCTCATATACAAGCCCAGTGTTCTAAACATTCGGCCAGCCGCTCCTCTACAATATAAAAAACATCAAGAAAAGATATAAACCTAAACGAAAAGTATATTAACACTATTACTACAGTATAAAAAGTAACACAAAAAAGCAGAATTGGAATTCAAGACCCAAACATGAAAACACTCTGGAGATTCCCATAAGTTTTCAGTCCCCATCCTCAGCAGCCAGTAAAGTATTCCAACTCCAATGGTACTGGTAGCAGTCTGACTGTGTGTCCATCTCGCCTTTCCTCTGAGTCTGGAGTGTAGGCCAGATCCCCTGATCAATTCTTCGTTGTACCATTCTCTTAGAAAATGATGATCTAATTGTGCCACCACACTCTTCAATCACTCCAAAACAGCCTTGACTAAATCTAACATCAGTTTACCGCTGAATGGTGCAAAGCCAGCCAGTCTATCTGCGTGTTCATTTCCCAAAACATCTGCATGCTGAAGAAAATATCCAAAAGATGTTAATTACCCTGGATCTCTGAAGCGATGCTCATCGCTTGAAGGTAGCATACCTTCTCCACATATGTCAACATGATTTGTGAGTCAATTAATCATAACATGTGGGGGCAGCTGATTCTCAAGTCAACAAAGGGCTGCAGTGACTGCCTCTACCTCCATTCGCAAACTAGTACAACATAAAAAAGGAAATAAAAAAACCAACACACTGCCGTAACTTACAATGCAGAAAGCCATTGTCCGGCTTCAACTCAATCATAATATAGATTTGTATAGCCAGCTGGGGGGCAGCTTCAAAGAAGCTCTCAAACAGGTGCAACAGGCAGATGTCCACATTCTGGCGAAGCATGCTGGCATAATAAAGGTCACCATCATCTGCGCTTAAATCCTCACATCGAGTTCTGCAACCAGTGTACAGATATTCTGCTGTTCTGGAGAAGAAGTAAATACAAAATAATAAATAAAAATGGCTTTTTTTTTCTTGCACTATCAATGTTTGACATGTTCAAAAATTAAATAAATCCACATGTAAAGTAAATACAGTTGATTTCCATCACTCTCATTGTTTTGGTTGTACATTGTCAGACTGCTGTTGATCTATCTCTTGATGTTGTCCTCCCACTTGTATTGCTGTCTGCCTCTTACTTTTGACTTTGACAGAAGACTAAAGTAATCATCTTTTATTTCCATTTGGTAAATGAATAAGTTAATGTAAAGTGCCCTTTTCACAGCGGATAAATGATGCATATTTTATGGGTAAACTAACACTCAATGAGTGATATGGTCAACATAATGCTTGTGGCATGTATTTCCCAGTAACACAGTGCGAAAAGCTTCATCTTCTTCACACTCACCAGCTGTAAACTCCAGCAGAAAGTGCTGGTTATTCATCCACTTCTAGGTTTTATTCTCATTTCAGAACCTGAGTAGTGAGTGCATGTGTGTTTACAGATCTGGCTTATTTGTATGCAGCTTGTTAGTTCCTCCCCTCTTAAACAGATTTACTTCGACTTAAAAAGTAACATCCCTAATTAGTTGACTCTTTCGATATACTTGTTACCCTTTTTAGCACGGGAAGTTTTTCAGAGGTCTAGCCAAAAACACTGAGCATTTTTTCAGTGAATTTGATTATTATTTTATTTAATTTTTTTGACAGATTTCTGTTATTCTGACCCCTGTGAAATAATATATCTATTTGAAGGATATAGATTGAAGTTCATGATTTTCACAATATCGTTAAAATTAATTGATGTATATGCAAATTATCTCATTTGCATATCTAAAAATAGAAAACATGAATTTGAATTTTCAACTTCAATGCTTGAAACATAAAACTAAAAACAAAAATTTTTTTTATTTGAAATCTTTTTATTGATCTTTGGCCTATTTGCAAATGTTGTAAGCAATTAAATAGTCAAAAACATGTATATATATATATGAAACAGCAATAATATCTTTAGGTGACATGTGTTTTTCACCATCAGTCAGCACAAGAAATGGATGTGCCGGAGTGTCAACACCTTCGGGTGGATATACCCTGAGCCATGGTTGGGCTGTGATCTGAACACAACAGCGTCCCCATCTGATTCCCACTATTACTACTAACACTAAATCCTGCATCAGTATCAACAGAGTTAGTGTCATCACTTGATTCAAATGTTTTATCAACATCAAGTTTAGGGGCAGAAACATACGAGTCAGACATACTTTTAGCGGTTCAGGTCACTATCTAAAAAATTCAACAACAATTTTCACTTCGATACCAAACACTCGAAAGTCGCCATGTGTAAAGCTGATACAGCAGTTAATATAAATGAAGCACTTTCAGTGTTTCAAAATAGGAGATTTCTTAGCGGTTCGAGGCAAAACACGATCAGGCCGTGTTTTTGGCCAGACATCCGCCGGCCGATAATCGGCCCGTCGGTGCTAAGAGGGTTAAGGGGCAGACAGTATATCCCCCCAACCCCACCACAACTGGGCCCCAGAACCAAATGAGCAGTGAGATGTGAGATAAGCAAAGCAAAATGTCAGAGCAACAAGAGCTGACATCACTTATCAAGAGCCCACTGGTCTATATAAACCTATACCTAGCATCATATGACACTCGTGTAACAAGGGTCCTTTACTTCCTGACTTTCTCTATAGAACATATTTTCTAAAGAACATTTTTATGCAAATTAAGTATACCTTAAAACTGGTCCACACTGAAGCAGTGTAAACACTATTCTCAGAAACCAAACACATTGATTGCTCGTCTGTCTTTTCTTCTGTTTTTCCTTGCGGTAATCAATGATGTACCAATGAAGTCCAAGAAAAGATACAATAATAGATGGCACCACAACAATCACTGTCGTTTCTGCTCCCCACAGCCACTTGTTGTTTTTGAAATACGTTACAGCAAGATTAACATCCGTTCCAACATCAACAAAAAATAAAATGATTGAACAGATGCACACAATTATATCAAACCAGCCAAAAGTGAAGAATTGTTCATACTGATTGCTGGTACCTGGACTATGTACGTTAATTATTGTCAACGATCGACGAGACATCCCGACATCAACGTATTCATTTTCAATCACCGTGATTATCACGGATTCGTCTGTTTCTGCCTGGGATGACAGCAACTCGCCATTGCTCACTGGTGTCATTTCTAAAGAAGTGTCTGAGTGGGTGCTCGTGGCGAGGTATTTTTTACTTTTTGGAAACGAATCCATTTTTACCATCTCCCAGCTGTGACTGTGATCGCTAGTAGTATAGTTGCTTCCATTATCATCATCATGCTAATTGTCTCCGTCCATGTGTACATTGTGTGGTGACTGGGGCGGCGGCCACCTAGAGTACTAGACTAGTACTACTAGTAGTTAGTGGTCAGCGGATGTGTCGTTTGCGTCGCTAGCGCTGTGCTTTACTTTAAGCTTCTCTTTCGTGACTTTTTTTTAAATTTATTTAGCGATGATCTCCGAAATGTGGAGAACAGCTTTCTTGCGCGAGTATCATCATAACGTTTGTAAACAAATCGCCCTGTTGCGATCCAACAACAATCGTCAGTTCAGCTACCAACAGATGTTTTGAATAGAGTAGCCGCCCTTTTTCGGGAGTATTCATTTAAAGTGATTACACCTTTTCTAACAGCACGCTCAACGGGCAAAACAGTCAAAGAAGCCAACGGCGCCTTCTCCATGACAACCAGCAGCATGACGATGGGGGTGATGGCAGTGACGCAAGCGCTTGCCTGGCTTGAAATACAAAAATACACCCGCGTGTGTATACTCAGTGATTCAATGAGTATGATCCGGAGGGTTCAGGCAGGTTCAGTGCGAAGACAATGGCTTGAATCATTACAGAAGTCCACTGTGCGTGGAGTCACCTTTATTTTTGTTCCAGGACACGCAGGCGTCGATGGAAATGAAAGAGCTGACAGGTTGGCTGGATCCGCTATCACTACCGACGGTCAGCCTATGGATCATGCTGATATTATCAATGCCCTCAGAGAAATGGGAAGGATAGAGGACTTTGGTGGCAGTGAATCCACATCACTCGCCAGAATGGCAGACTTGGGAATTGAGATCGGCACAGCAAAAAACGAGACGCACACCAGACACGCCAGAAGACTTGTTAATCAACATAAAACTGGTACTATTAGCCATCGGACGTTGGGGTTCATACTGAGGGGAGGATCTGAGCACCTATGGACATGTCCGGAGTGCAATGAGGATAACCCAACTACCTAACTAACTAACACCTTTTCTAAACAGACTCACAGAAAACAATCAAATCGTTCTCCAATGGATCCCGGCTCACTGCGGCATACCAGGAAAGGAGTTAGCAGATACACTTGAAAGAAATGGAACAAAGGAGAAACAACATGCCCATTCATTGTCATTACCAGAAATCAGAACATTTATCAAAGGAAAATACAAGGGATTGTGGAGAGAACAAACTAACAGTAAACATCCACAAGATCCCATCAGCAGACTCAACAGAAAGCAACATACAACAATTTTCCGTCTACGAACAGGACACTGCAGGCTCAACTACCACATGCATAAAATAAAGATTTACAGTCCCCCACAGTGTGCCTGTCAAACAGGACCACAAACATCTCAGCACATTCTGCAGACCTGCCCACTCTACCTACAACTTCGAAAAGACACCTGGCCTCAAGAGCAGAGTGTACAGAGCAAGCTATGGGGAACCATGCAGGACCTGCAGCTGACATGCGAGTTCATAGAGGCAGCCCACCTGATGGTCTGATCTGAGCATACGAAACCGAATGCAAAGAAGAAGAAGAAGAAATTGTCAATTTACTTTGACATGGTATACTGAAAGACCAGGTCTTCTTCTTCTTTAGCATTCAGAGACCTTGAGGGTCGTTGCTGCAGATATCACCCGCCTGCATTTATCTCTCTGGTTGGCCTTCTCTTTCCAGTTGGTAACACCAAGTGTTTACAGGTCTTCTTCTCTCTTCTGCCTTTCTATCCCCCAATGGAGCATAGGCCCTCAACCAATTCACGCCAAGTCGTTCTATTCTTCGCCATTACATGGAGCTCTCCTCATGTCCTCCCCATCTTTTTAACTTCATTCTCCAGCTCTCTTCTCCATGTTTTTTTTTTATTTATTTCTATGCCCCTGTGGGTTCCAATTCAAAGACATTCTAGTTATGCTGTTTTCTCAGTGTGTATCCTATCAAACGCCAGCGTCTTTTCCTCACCTCTTGGTCCACTGGAGCCTGTTTAGTTCTCTCCCAAAGCTCTACATTAGTTATTCTATCTTCTTCTTCTTCTCTTCCACCTTGAACCTTATCGAGGTGTCGGGGGAGATGTAATGTTCGTTGATGAGCTATGTCAAGAGCACTATTAAGACTGATGCTCATTTCTGTAAGGCTGTTCTTAATGCCATCACTCCATATTTTTCCGAAGTCTTCAACTCGCTCTATACCTATTGTAACGTTTTAGTGTGGCTCGCTGTGGCAGATAGTACCAGGGCATTCTTGTTAGGTGCCCAAACCACTTTATTTGTTGTTCTTTGATGACATGTAAGACTGGCTTTATTCCTAGCATTCGTCTAATTTCATGATTTCGTATTCTGTCTTTCCTTGAAAACTACTGGACGCAAATTTGCCTAGAAAAACCACACAACAGCCAGGGGCTGTTGGGGTTGGTTCTGCAACGTCCTGTAAAGGATACGCAACTAACATTTCCTTGAAACTCCTACAGCTCTTCTAGGGCATTTCATCTCTGTTGTCACAATTTTACGTTCATTGGAGGATGTAAGTGTCCACGATTGGCATTGATAGCATAGTGTTGGCCAAAAATTAGTTCTGATAAGATTCACTTTAGTACTCCGAGGTATCTGCTTGTGTGTCAACAGGGGAGATAGTTGCCCCATTACTTGATTAGCTTTGGCACATCTGGAGCTAATTTCTCTGTCCAGTTTTCCGTCGGATGTGAAAATTGCTCCCAAATACTTAAATTCCTCTGTTTGTCTCAGGGTGTTGAGGAATTTAAGTATTTGGGAGCAATTTTCACATCCGACGGAAAACTATCATACCATTTAATTCTAATACCATTATTCTATCATACCATTTAATTCCCTCTATTCTGCTTAGGCTCCAGTTAATGAATGTCTTTAATTTATTAGTAATTGCCTTAGTTGTTCTCCATGTTTCCGCCCCATAAAAAAGTACTGATTTGACATTAGAATTAACAATTTTTAGTTTAGTATTTCTTTTAATTTCTTTTGACTTCCACAAGTTCCCTAGTGTTATGAAAGCTCTTGCCTTTTGTATTCTTATTTTAATATCTTTATCAGTTCCTCCATCTTTATCTACATTACTGCCCAAATAGGTGTACGACTCTTCGTCTTACAGCAGAGTGCCATTAAGAGGTCTGTCTGGATTTTATCTCTCCATCGTCTTCTTGGTCTCCCTCGTGCTCTACGACCATTCATTTCCCGGGTGTATACAGTTTTTACTTTTCTGTCATCTGACATTTTTTCAATTTGCCCCAACCAGATCACCGTTCAAAAATTTGCCTTATCGACGTTTTGATCTATGCATCTGGTACTCTTCTTTGCGATCACCGGCTATAAACATTTGTTTACAGATGTGGCTTTTTTTTTAAATTGCAGCCTGTTGGTTCCTCACCTCTTAGACCAGCCGTTCGCAACCTATGGGTCACGACCCTTTCACAGGGGTCGCATAAAACCATCAGTAATCACATATTCAAGGAAGTTATGAGGAAGCAACGAAAACAATTGTATGGTTGGGGGTCACCACAACATGAGGAACTGTATTAAAGGGTCGCGGTATTAGGAAGGTTGAGAACCATTGTCTTAGACTGAAAGTAACATTCCTAATTAGTTGACTTTTTCAACAAACTTGTTAAGAGGCAGCAGGTATAATGATTATCAAAGTTTTCTAATTAGTTTATGAGGTTGAGCGGTGTTTCCAGGTTTTGCACATGTTTCTTCTTCTTCGTTCACCGGCTGTGAATTCCGGCGGAAGGTCCCGGTTAATCGTCCGCTTGAACTTTTGGCTTTTACCAGGACCTGAGTTTTGCGTGTACAACCGTTTTACTGGCTTTTGCCGTTCCCTGCCTCACAGGCAGATGTACTCCAACTTCGAGGGAAGACGTCAGTCCTATTTCTAGGATGACTGTGGCCATTGTTTTGTGTGGGTCGAGATGTTATCTTATTTGTGTGGTGACCTCTTTGTCCCTTTCTCCACAAGTTTTGCCCAGGAGTACCCCCTTTGGGGCAGCCCTGTGTGGAACGGTTAGCCCCCAATGAAAGGCAGGGGCAGATCATGGGCATTCCCCGCCATCCAAGGAGGCTTCCATAGAAGCAGAGCCGATACATAACGCTCTGGTTCTGGGCTCACCCAAGGAATCGTCACGTCCTGCACATAACTGCTTAACCTCACAACCGTATTAGGCTTCCCGCTTGACACGGGCTGCGCCCTCCGAAGATCAGCGGGGAGCAGCCCGTGGGTTCTGGACTTAGTGACCACACAAATAGGTACATTCTTCTTCGTTGCACGTTAGACACCTTTAGCGTTGTTTCAACTGTGCCCTTAGCATGACAGTATGGGTACTCATGCTTCACCTGTTTGGTCCCAACACTCGGGCGAGTGGAGCCAGTGTATACGGACATTTGGACTTTTTTCTAATCGGTACGAGTTATGATGATCGGACTTAGAGCTTGCTTGTGTGCCGTAGGATCTGACTTTGTTGGACATTTTTACCTAGCCAGCAGATGAAAGATGTCGTTGTGTGCCTCAGCGCGGTGATGATGACGCTGAGGATTGACAGAGGATTTTACGTAGGTAGGATCTGACTGTGAGAAACCACCCACAAGAGATGTTACTCGTCTTGGCTGCGGGTAAATCTCTTGGTCAAGGGTTGAGTCTCAGCAGCACAGTTTTCCATTCGCTCCAGAATTTTAACCAAGAGTTGTCATTTTGTGGTACATTTGGCAAGCAGACTTTACTCATGTACCGAATGAGTTTTGATAGACTTTTCACCCATGCGTTTGGGGACAGGCTGATGTGGACCAGAAAGGACACTACACTTTGGGAGCCGCCAGCTCCGAGATCCCCTACCAACTCTGTTAATGCTAATTTGAGACATTATCCGTGGCGCACGACGGGGACGTGCAGCAGGAGTCTTGCATGAGGTTCCATAAAACCAGGACAGTGAAGGACTGGCGCCCTAGTGAGGTACGG